TTGTATCAAAAATTGATTTCATATTTTAATGTTTAAAAAAAACATTCTCTGGACAACCTTCAAAAAAGGTAGGTATGGCATCTTTTTTCAATTTAAATCGACTTAGGAGAATTGTTTTTATTTCACCAGTCTTTGGGTCAGTTTTCACAGTTTCTTTAACTATGACATCCGACGAAAAATGTTTCTCACACACCTAAAAACGAATATACATTTCAAGTATTTTGTTTATATTTTTAACTATTTCTTCAAAAAATATTATACTAAATACTTTATAGTTTTGATGTCATAAACTTTTTTACATATTTGAAGTAAAAAAAAAAACTTTTAATGTTCTCACTCTTAAAATATTTTTAAACTCAACGAAAAACAATTTCAGAAAAATCAAAATATTTGTTGAAAGTCATATTTTACTCAATGAAATATGAGATTCAAATTAAAATTTCAATTACAATTTCTATTTTTTCCCCCACAAAAGCAAGACTACTAATGCACAAATACCCAATGAAGTAAGAGATGCAAATTAAAATTTAAGTAAAACTTTTAATTTCAGTTGAAATTTTAAATTATCACACGAGGAAAAACAATATTAAAATACTTATAGAACTGTTGTAACAGAGGTTTGTGATTTTTTTGAATGATTTAAATTTTCTGTTTCATATTGTTGGAGTCTTATAGCCTGCCTTATGTTTTCACATTTTGTCAAACTTTCTCACACAAAAATGTAATTAAAACAAATTTGTACAATCTCATTTAAAATGCCTTCTAAATTTAATATATTTTTTTTCCAAAAAAAATTAATATAATTTGATTTAACTACATGATGATTATTTTAAAAAAGAAATTGTTGATTTAAATCAACAAACCCCGATTTCAACAGAAATAAACAATAAGTGAAAAAACTTACTCGAGAATTCTTAGTGATGATAAAATCCTTCCGTGAGAGTGCTGAGTGCTTGTAGCCAACGTATCGGATTTTTCATTTATGTTAACCCGTGCTGAGGCCTTCCTTATTCCAGGAGGTATTGGTTCGAATCCCGGAGATGGATGGTCGATACGAATTCCGCATCCGGTTTGCACGAACCACAATGCTGACGTGAAAT